ATTTTTTTTGTGGACAAATCAACCACTAAATTGTTGGCGGACAACCGATCTCGTGATTGCCCTGTGGGTTGCCGCAAGGACACTCAACCACAGTTTTTTTTTTTCTTATCTTCTAGCACTTCGCCGGCGGCATCTAAGCATCTTGCGAGATCCCTAACCGATAGATGTCTATCATGATATCCATTAGCATCTCATACCTAACGATAGATGTCTCATTAGCGTCGATTACATGCCAAATTTATCATGTAAAACTCATACCTAACAAATAGGACTGTCTATCAGTGATATGCGATTAGCATTCATACCCTAACGACAACCGGAATGTCTGATCACTGATATCGCAAATTATTCTCACTTCGTCTCCAATAGCCTTCTAAGCGATACATGCTCTATCACCTGGATATGCATTAGCATCTCATCACCTAACGGATAGATCGTCATCACTGATATGCAAATTCTCATCCTCATACCTAACGATCACGATGTCACTAGTTAGACACTGATCAATACATTAGGCATCTATTCTCATACCTAACGATAGATGTCTATCACTGATATGCAGTTAGCATCTCACAACCTAACGATAAGATTCTATCACTGATATGCATTAGCAATCTAATACATACGCTAACGATAGATGTCTATCACGTATGAATATGGCAAGATTATCATCGTCATGAAACCTAAGCGTAGGATGGTATCACTAGAGTGGTAGGGTTATCACGAAAGTGCTCCAAATAGCCTAAGCGATAAGATGTCTATAACACTAATGGCAGGTTAGATTAGCAGTCTCGATAAAACCGTAACGATAAGAGTGGTGCGTGTATCACTGATATGCATTAGAGCAATCTAATTCCTAAACAGAGTAGAATTGTCTATCACTGCATACCTGCAAATAAGAGCATACGATTCGAGTAACCTAAGCAGATAGATAGTCGTATCACTGATATGCAACATTAGCCATCTCAATACCGTAAAAGGAATAGGATTCGTGTCGAGCGTGGATAAACTGAAGCAAATTATCATCTCATACCAATAAACGAGTAGATGTGCTATCACTGATATGGTCAGAATTATGCATCTCATACAACTAGAGACTAGGAGTGCAGTGCTATCAACCTAATGTACCATTACTCATACGCTAATAATGGATGTCTATCAGAAAACGTATGAATAGAGCGATGTAAGCATTCATAATCCTAACGATAGGATTAAATTATTACTCCCATATAGCAAATTGAGTCATTCATCATACCGTAAACGGGAAGATGGTCTATTAGCAACTATGAATAGTGAGGTCAGGATTAGGGCAATCTACATGACCTAACGATAGATTCTATCACTAATTGTAGATTCCAGCAATCAAATCATCGACCAGATATAGAATGATAGATGGTTTATGCCCACTGATGTAAAAGCATGTAGCCCGACATCACAATCTCAGGGTGGAAATCGTCTTCTCACGTGAGATGTAAGCGTATATGACGTAATAGTCAATCACGTCTAACGAATGTCTCAGAAATTCTCATAGTCTTCATGGTACGAATCTCATGGAACAAAACTGATTTGAATTATGCACGACAGTCGTGGGTTTTAGGAGGGGGAACCAGAGAACGACTGCTAATCGTCAGCAGCCAGGAAGGAGGATTGAAAGGTAAACAAAGAAAGCTCGTCGTTTGCACGAGCATGGAGAAAGACAGGGGTGAGGACTGACTATGCTAGGAAGGTATACTATTACAAAATCGCGTGCTCAGATCAGAGGTTCTTAACGTGTCTGTGAGGTTGTGTGTGTGTGTGTGTGTGTGGTGAGTAATTGGGTTGGCGGGCCGAAGGAGGGAGGGGGGGGGGAGAGGGGGGGGGGGCGGGGGGTGGCGCGTGTGTGTGTGTGATGGTGTGCTGCGCTGTGCGCTGTGCGTGTGCGTGCGTGCGTGCCTGAGTGTGTGTGTGTGTGTTCGTGCATGTGTGGTGGTGTCCGATGTGTGGAGTGTATGTTCGTGAGCATGTGTGTTGTGTGGTGCGGTGCATGATGTGTTGCGTGTGTGTGTGTGTGTGTTGGTGTTGTGGAATGCCTGTGTATGTGTGGTAGTGGTGAGATGTGTTGGTGTGTGTGTGTGTCGTGTGTGTGTGTGTGTGTGTGTGTTGTGTGTGTGTGTGGTGTGTGTGTGGTGTATGTTGTGTGTGTGTGTGTGTGTGTGTGTGTGGTGTGTGTGTGTGATTGTGTGTGTGTGTGTGTGTGTGTGTGTGTGTGTGTGTGTGTGTGTGTGTGTGTGTGTGTGGTGTGTGTGGTGTGTGGTGAGTGTGTGTGTGTGTCGTGGTGTGGTGTGTGTGTGTGTGTGTGTGTGTGTGTGGTGGTGTGTGGTGTGTGTGTTGTGTGTGTGTGTGTGTGTGTGGTGTGTTGTGTGTTCATGAGTGTGTGTGTGTGCGTGTGTGTGTGTGTGTGTGGGTGTGTGCATGCGTGCGTGCATGTGTGTTCGTGCGTGTGTGCGTGTGTGTGCGTGCATGAGTGTGTGTGTGGGTGTGTGCATGAGTGTTTGTGTGTGCGTGTGTGTGTGTGTTCGTGCGTGTGTGTGTGTGTGTGTGTGGTTGTGTGCATGCGTGCGTGCATGTGTGCATGTCATAAATAGCACATCATTTCAATGAATGTATAATGATCAAATAAATATCAATTTGCTGCTTAACCTTAATATAATTTTTCAGAGCATGTTGACAGTAAGGTTTGCAATATGCATTCACATGTAGAATCAATGGAGTAAATCAAGAGGCATGCACATAATATTTAGATGACGGATTTCTGTAATTTCACAAGATATTGGAACTGCATTAAATTCAAGTATACGTCTATCTGTCTATCGTAACAAGCAGTTTAAACCTCAATAGAACTAGTAGAAGATATTTCCTGCAAATGCATTGTTAATTCACTCTTATGTAGAACAGCCACACATATAAGGAAGGCTATTTATTGACAATAGATATAAGATTGACAAGTGATGATCATGCTTTAGTAAAAAATTGGCTAATTCTTACTTCTATGTATAAACTGAATCAGTATTAATTTGTAATATTTCGTCACCAGGAACTAGAAGAGAAAATATCTCGCCTACACGAAGCCGAATTTGTATCCAAGTCAATATCGAGTAGTCTGTCAAAGTTGTCAGAGTTGGAAGCTGAGAACAGGAGACTTATTGATGACAACAATTATCTGAGGTTTGATTTTTCATGTAGAATTATGTGGGGTGGAGCGCATAAGAATATTTCTGGTGTAGTTTTGTTAATACATGCAGAGAGTATGCATTCTAAGATCTAGTAGATACGGTCATAGCCTCTCTCGTGTTGGAGCAAAGTTTTCTTCTGCTAATTGGCATGAACGTTCTGTTGCCAAAGTCAATACTGCTCTGGTCGGATCAGTGACTGTAGCAGTTTGAGTGGTGCAATCTGTGCATAAATAGTACCAAGAGTAAGATAATACCCCATTATTACCCCATTATATTACCCCCGGGTTATTATTAACTTTTAATAGTACTGAATGAAAAGTGCAGACCCAGATGATAAAATCTTTTCGTCATGGATGTACTGTTTATAGGTCTACGACAGAAAATACCTTACTATACAAGGAAAAGGCCGATGGACTGGAAACTGCTTTGGCGCGTGCAAATGACAGATTTAACGAGCTACTACATGTGGAGGCCCTTAATGAGGTGATCAGTTAATCAGGTCGATGCAGGGCACTCATGCAGAAATGGGGATACACTGAAGATGGCCAAACCGAATGCAGATTCTTGGAGGGATGATGGGGCATCTCCTGAAATGCCCCCTATTACCAGAGCCCTGTAGCCATGGAAACCTTGAGGTTTTCAACCACGGTGCCAGGTCCTGTGTGCTGCAGTGGCTAGGTCGAGTGTAGTATAGTGACCCGAGAAGACGAAGATGTAGTTAATCATGCTGAGTGAAGATGTAGCAGCTAGTACACTTCAGCTCATAAGCAAAAACCCACGAACTGCATACTGTATGTTGTTGCAATCTGTCATCTCTCTCTCTCTCTCACTCTTGTGCTACAGTTAATGTTTACTGTTTTGCCATTTTGCTTGTTATTTCAGCAGAGAATATTTTCTGGTGGTACTTTATCATGTCCCTTGCTAGGTGTTCAGTATATCATGTGTACCTCTCTTGACAGGAGTTGACAAGCAAACTGAAGCGTTGGGAAGCATTTGCAATCAACACAGCAGGCGTTCTGAAGTAAGATGATTATGTGATTTTTTGGCATTTATTCAACTGCCTAACATGAATAATATAGAAGAAACTAAAACCCCAAATTTTTTTAAGGTAATGATAAATAAACAATACTTCACTTTGCATTCAGTTTAATGTTACGCGTCTACGAATCGTCTGGCTGCATGAGGTCTCATGGTCGGTGTCATTTTAGGTCGCCTGAGGAATATTCGGTTAGTGTTGCAGAGCAGCAACAGAGGGAGGCAGTGTTGACTCAGCAGATGGGTGAAGTGAAAGCCAGGTGAGTGGTGCATATACACAAGGGTTTACAATTATGAAGACATTAATAAAAGTAATATCAGTAATGGAGGAACACGCCTAATCTTGTTGTTAAAGGCAAAAAATACATTTTCACGGGAAGTTCGATCACCTTCGCAAAATGGTTGAATTTCAGATAAAGTCGTGTGACTGTGGAAAGTCAATGAGGTTTTGGGTGGCATTAGAGACCTTTGCACTGTCAAAACCAGTAGCAGTTAGTCACCAAAATTCAATAATGATCTCATATTGACAGGCCCATACTGCCCTCGACACTAACGGTTGTCCGATTGCCCGGGACAAGTGAAAGTCTATGTCAGACAAGTTATTCTCTTGGCTAGTTGCCCGATCGGACAACTGAAAAATTCTAATTGTTTAATATTCCTATAACATCCTTTGAGCCAGGGCGCTATCGCACCACATTTGCACGTCAAACGTTTTCAAAGGTCGCTGAAAAAAGCAGCCCTCGACACCCACTGTTACCATTACAGATTTATTCAGAGCGGCAGCGTGTACCTCTTGACCATTCTAGCTGGAATAACAGAAGAAAAAAAACATTAGGCAAAGGTCCAAGTGAGACAGTTTATAAGAAATTATAATGAACTAATGATGGAGTTATATTTTAAGTAAATTAAAATCTGTTTTTTCTAGCAATCACGTGTATAAGGAAAGGTGCGCAAATCAGCAACAAGAAATCGACAAGTTAAAAGAAAGCGAGCAGCAACCAAAATCGAACATCAAACCTGAGATCTTACGCAAACTTCAGAAGAAACTTGTGTTTGTCATGACGGTACCACATTCTTTCCACATACAGCAGAGCAGATTGTTGATTGCTTTTATTGTTTATACGACTCCATCTCCTTTGATGACTTCATTTTATAGCACTTTTCAGTACGGTACACAATCTATTATCCGAAACCCTTGGGACCAGACACGTTTCGGAATTCGGAATGGTAGTACAGTATAGCTATACATACTGTATATCCTGCAACTAGCCAGTACTAAAACCCAAGTTTTCAAGAGGCCAAGTGCTGTACAAGTACAGTACAGTATGTATGAGTAATGCCAAACACATTCATATTCGTTGGGTCGAGTTTTGGCGCCAAACGCGAGCTTGCAGACGACCCCCACGGAAAAACTTTCGGTTTTCGGAGCTTTCCGGTTTTCAGAATTTCGGATAATAGATTGTGTACTGTATAATGGAAACCCCAACTAATGATTAATAGGTTAAATGAAAAAAATTACTCTGTATAGCTCTCTCGTCAAATACTAATTATTGTTCATATGTACCAATGTATGCCTATTGTTTTGATTGTTATTGCTTTGGTGGATCCATAAATAAAAAACATTAAAAAAAAAATAAAAAAAAATAAAAAAGGTTAAATGTAGTGATCCTAACCTTAACTATGTAACTACTAGGGTTTAACTATTGAGGGTAATTAATTGATAACATTAAAACTAATAGGACTTAATGTCAGCATGGCATAATTAAATAGTAGGATGGGTCTTAATATTTATAACACTGGCGCACAACGTATGCTAGACTGTAGACTTGCTAGACAATTTCAGTTAACTCGTTTAAGAGGTGTGACCGGTAATCATGCGTGTATTTTATTGCCTGCAGGAGCGAGATGGGTATAAGCGTATCATTGATACCTATGACAGTGAGATGACAATCAACTATCAGTCTCTGGAGCGGCAACGCCTGGCCGAACTACAGAGCATGCTAGATGCCTATAAGAAACGCGTGGAACAACTAGAAGCAGACGCAGGTCTCACACTGCAGGTGGGAAAACAGGTGAAAACATTCACAATGTATTGTTACGCACCAATATTTAAGGTGTAGTGATGTTCCTGAGCACATCGTATACCAGGGGTAGAAATTAACTTTTGAACAAGGGAGTCCCTGCCCCCAAAAAAGAGGGAGTTCGTGGCCTGCCCCCAAAAAAGAGGGAGTTCGCGGCAAAATAAGGGAGTCCGCAGTCTGAAGTTCAAGACTAAAGATATTAACAATAACGCATGTGCTTATTTTGAAGATTCATGCGGTTGCATGTCTGCCAAATTTTCTTTGGACATTGCTGAAAAAAAACGGTCATTTCGCGTGGGAATAATAAGGAGGCCGTCCTCTGGAACAAACTAGTTAGTGTAGCAGATTTTTCAGGGAGTCACAAGGACTCTTGCATATGTGAAATCAGGGTGTTCGACAGTAAATCAGTGAGTATTTGACTCCGGACTCGCGTTAATTTCGCACCCTGTATGCTCTAGGTAATGATATGCTTCATATAAAACTTAATATAAACTGCTATGCATAGGCTACATAATATCAGGAGTGTATCAGGAGTGTATTTTGATACACTCCTGATAATATCAGGAGTGAATAATAATAGATTCACTGCTGATCCTATTAGTCTGTTAATATTCACTTCTGATAATATCCTAGAAACACCAGTTGTTGTCCATTCACTGGTTCTAGTTAAGTGTTTACAAGAGATAAGGAGGAGCAATATATTAAGTTCAGATGCTAATAAAGTTCGATCCAAATGAGATTAACTTTATTAACATGTGAAGTTGTGAACTAATACAGATCCAATGAAATTATTCAGTCTAATATATTAAGTTGTTTCTTCTTGATTGTAGGAGGTGGCTGGAGCAGCGGTTGATTCCAGTTCAGTTGCTAGAGAAGTACTGGAACTAAAGTAGGTACTATTCACGGACAGTCAGAAACATCTGTTGCTTGGTTAGAATTAATTGTACTGTGTAAGAATCACTCGTGTTCAAGGTCAATGGATACATTTTTATCTATTTGAAATATGTACTAAATGTGATATTCCAAATTTTTAGACTTAAATTGTTTATTTTAAATGCGCGGAATCTAAAATGAAATCTAGATGATGTAACATAATAGAAAATAGCTGATGTTGAATGTTATTTCGATCAAAGTTTTCTTCCCCTCTTCCATTGCTATGAATGTGCAGCATGAATGGGGCTAGAGGTATATCTTGTAAATATATCAACTTCCATTTTATATTGCACGATGGTATTAAAATACTCAAATCATGTCATTATTTATCATATACATGTCAAAAATTGTATTGAAACAAAGATGAAATAAATCAATCTATCTATCGATCTACCTATATATTATTTATATCAGTTGTCGTTTCCTGAGTTTTCGATGTGCCAAATAACGTTTGTGTTAAATAGATGATTAGGGTATTTCAGTAAATCATTATTCAGTTAAATCGGTATTCAGTAATAAATCGGCCTTTCCCTGTTATAGTAAACCAGATTGAGAAATACCTATACGATGAGCTGGTGTGTAATTATACATACATCTGTCCATATGTCCAGCAGAAATCTGTCCAGCAGAAATCTAAGCGACAACCTCTATGCTTTTGATATTCGGCACGTATAAATCACGGTAATATCACAGATAAAAACTCCAGCCTTGGATGAAAGTTGACGTTGTCAATATAATATAGGTCTGATGCTATGTTACTGTTATAGTGCATGCGCTCAATATCAGCCGAAACTAAATGACTTCCCATGCAATCGTCATGTTTGTAACATAAACATTTTTGGACGGAAACTGGCAAGCAAGGGTAAAAGGTCACTGGGTCAAAAAACTGGACATTTTTCAGCGCACATAGTAAGAAAGATTTGCCTCAACAGTGGCCTATTGTTGTTATTAAAGTAAGGGTGACCTATATTTTATCTAATTTCTGCTGATACTTGCAGGGTGTTGATATCTGGAACATATCTAACCCTCAAGACAAGGATTAAACTTTGGTTTCCTTAACGGGGGAGATGATTCTAGGCACAGTGATTCACCTATGTTGCCATTCCTACGGTTATATGCATTACTTTACTCTAGGCAGGAGCTGGAAAAGCTAACTGCAGAAAAACAAAAACTCGCAGCTGACAAAGAAGCTTGGGAAATGAGAACTGAACAACGAAGTATGCAGGTAATGCGATGAAGCCAATCGTTTAAACTAGTTTGCCTTTCAAGGTAACAAACAGAACTAAACAATAATAATAATAATATAATGTCATAATGATCTCACAAACCTATATATATATATATATATCAAGAGCTAATAA